ATATATTCTGATTTCTGAGAAATGAAGTGAAAACACTGTAAGCAATAACTGAAAATTCCACACTGACCAAGACCACACCAGAAACTTTGCTCAAAGTACCCCACACTGTGAGAAGCATTAGCAGAGAGGCTCTGTGGCTGAGCTACTTTTTACAAATAGGAAAAGAAGATAAGGAAAATGATAACACAGTAAAAAACTAAGGCCCTTTTTTTAGGTTCTCAAACACATAGTCTATTTAGAACTTTATTTTGACTTATCTGACAAGCATTTTCTCAAGTCTGTGAGTGAATACTGTTTAAGTTACTGCAACTCCCCGACAAAGTTATTATAGCAACTATTACCTGTTTTCAGTTATTATGGCAACTATTACCTATTTTCAGTTATTATGGCCACTATTACCTATTTTTCCAGAAAAAGCTTAGTGTCAGCAAAGACTGAGGAAAGTGATGCAACTATGAGACCCAAGGTTAAGTGCACTCTCTGGAGAAGAGGCACCCTTTGTTTTTTTGGGAAAATACAGAGAATAAAAATTGACAATTCCAGAACACAGAAGTGAATTAGTATCTGGTTTTTTAGTTACAAACCTCTACAAATCATGAAGGCATTTGGAGCTGTTTGGTGGTGGTATGCTTGGAAAACAAACAACCAGGCTGAAAGATGTTGCCAGAACACCTGTCCATTTGCCATTGTTTTCTGAGTATAGTGTTAGCAGACAGGACTTTGATAGAGAAAGTGGAAGGTGATTAAAATTGCAGGTGTGTCTATGAAATATTTCTGTTCCTTGCCCCTTGAACTCAAGGGGAAGCAGTGTTCAGCACATTCCACCTTCTCCTCCTACTCAAACTTGAACTGTAAACTGAAAGCCGGCTCCTCATTACATGGCCTGACAGCCCAACTATTTGCAGCTTTAGTTACAAAACCATTTAGAGAATTTACAGGCCTCAGTACAAACAGCAATATGTGTAGACAGAACAGCTTAGACAGACAGAAAGATATTGGTAGAAGGGTTGTGCTCCCTCTCTCCTCTCATTGTTAAAGTTGAAAAGGAGCCCAGCTGGCCAATGTTGCCCCACCTTATTATATCCAAGTTGTTCCAAGACCCAGAGAGGGAAAGGGGTATGCTAACTCTCTGTCTAGCTGGAGTTTTCCCTAGCAGGAAATTTGTCTGAAGCTGCTGATGGGGGTTGATAAAAACACATGCTTGCAGGGACTTACAAGGTGATGAGAAGGCAGACTCAGAAGCCTTGAGTTCTAGTATGCTACTTCAGCATATTCCTGGCTGGAGGAAGGAGCAACGGGGTGTCAGAAGGCTCCCCTGATAGTGTTTACAGAACTTGTAGGTTTGACAAGCATAGTATCAAGTTCATTGTTCTTTAAGCAGGAGGTCTGGAGTGGAGGAAGCAGGAGTTGAGAGATGATTACCAAGTTTTGAAATTATCATGTTTGCTCTTTTGCACTTTCTAGTTTCGGCCCCCACCCCCAGGAGTCGCTGGCTATTTTGGAAGGTGCTGTCCCTTTTACCTATAAAGTAATACTAAATCATGTGTATATGGGAGGGTGTGTTTAATTGCATTTAGAAGCAGGTAGCCTACATGTCACAATGTTTCCAGCATCCATTTCTCTTTGTTTATTTTTCTATTTCTTTTCAGCTTTCAGCATCCCTACATTCAGAAAACTTATGACAAAGAGTGAATTCTTATTATTCAAATTGTTTTCAGACATTTCATGTTCATGAAATCCTACTGATTTCCTGATTTGTTCTATATTTTTGTTTTTTTTTCATTTTATTTTTATCAGCTACATCAAATGGGTCTTTGGAAGGCCTGCATAACCAGGAGGGAGGGGTGTGCCAAACAAGATCTATGAAAATCCTCATGAAAGTTGGACAAGGTAAAGATCAACTGTTGCTTTGTGACCCCACTGTGACCAGGTATAGCCCACAGCCAGCGTGGCACCTGGGGGTGACACTCATAATCACCCCTCTTGTTAGTTTTGAAGGCAGACCCTTTTCTGTACTTTGAACCACTGGTAGAGTCCCCCAAACTGACATGCTCAAATTTTCTCATTTAGATCTCTCTAAAAGTTCAGGCCAGTGAGACAGGGTGTCTGTGTGCTGCCATAGATATATCTCTTTACAATGCAGAACACTTCTTTGAAAAACAATCAAAGAGTCTTGTATGTAAACACTGGCTCTGCTGATTTGTTTCATTTTCAAATCTGGACAAACCAAGACCTGCATCTTCACGTAGAATAACCTATTGTGAAGAACGAAAGAATTATTCTTCTAATTAGAGAGTAGTATAGCTGTCAATCAACTTGCTTAGTGAAATCGAAATGCCATCTGTAATGCTTTGACTGCCAAATGTAAGAATCCCTATAGTTTCCACAGATGGCCTCCTAATCTAAACCTAACAAATAACTAGGATAACCAT